TAACGTGTATTTATTTAAATATATATTGTTGTTTTAATGTAATAATATAACTTTTAATGTGGTGGCACTACGACAAGTTTAGTGTACTTCACATTGCTATTGTCATTTCAACCAAAAAAAGTATTGGAAATATTTGTTTATTTATTTATATATTTATTATGTAATTTATAGTTTATAATATAATATGATATAGTAATGTGATAATTTGCATCAGTTATAAGTTTATCAACGTTTTTTAACATTTTTGTGCTTGCAAAACTAGTGTTATTGTATTTGCGGTTATGATTTGATTGTCAACAAGTAGATTTACTTTGAAATTTTCTTAATTATAATTAGTAAAATACGCGGTTTGCTGTGTAATAATTGATATCCAGGATTTATTTTAAGTTATTTTCAGCTAGTGTCAGTGTGCAGTTTTAATCATTTAATTTAAAAATATTGCTATGTTATTTTATGTCACTGACAGATACAAAATTCAAATTGGTACAAGAAATGTGTGTTAATTAATTGTGGTTTTACATATTTATTGTGTAAAGCTTCATGTTGTACTTCATTTCTAGTGTGATTTCAATAATTTGCTTCAAAATTGTTTGTTTTAGTAATCCCTAAATAATTTCACTAGCTGTTGTAATGTTTAGCTACTCAAGGAAAAGTGCTTAATTAGTTTGCGGAATTGTGTTTTAACTCGGTTTAGCATATTTATCAAGGCATTTCGTCCATATAATCTGATTTAAACATAAACTTCGAGCCCGGTTTATGTTTTTCTTGAGGAAATGTTTTGCTCAGCATCGGCATCCGCCATTTTGAATCCGTGCAAATTAAAGTAGCTAATAATCAGCTCGCAGCTCATTAGCGCGTCAACATCCGAACTGTTAACATCTCCGCGCAGTGCAGTGCAACATATATTTAAATATTATTATTTTAATACAAATCAGTGTCTAAAAAGTGTGTTCCGGTGTACAACGAGCATTTTAAATAAGGTAAGTGCTTCTTTTTCGTACTAGTTTGCACAAATATTGCATTTTATTATCGCGACAAGTGACGCCGTCTGGTTCTGATGCCAACGATGTTTTGCGTGTTTTAAAATGTAGTATCCATGCTTTATTTGTTGATTCACGATAAATATATGTAGGTTTATTCAATATTATTACACCTTTTCCCATTATTTATTGAGGTTTTTGCATTTTCTCGCAATTTAAAATTTGTGTTTTTGAAAAATCCAAGATGGCGGCCATAAACATAACCGATGGTTTTGTTCTGTTTTAAACAATACAGTCGTTTCCACGACGTATTGATAATAAAAATTCGATACTTTTTGATCTAGTGTATCTATTTACATTAAAAAATAGGTCTGTATAGATTTTTTCGCAAAAAAGCAAATTCAAGTTTTTTGGTGTTGTACCGAAAGAAAATGGCGGCTCTCAACTGTCAACTAACGAAAGTTTGAATTGAAATTTTAGCAATACAATTGTATCTGTAATGATAATTTAATAATAAATCATTTACATTTCACGAACTGAGTACAATTTTGTATAAAAATTTGAAATTATTTGCAAGTTTTTGCAAAATACTATTCAACCTTGCTGTTGAATAAAATTCTGTTTATAATTTTTCATTCTCATAATTTTTTTGTATTGAACAAAAATTACATACATTGTTAGAAGATCTGCTTTTATTTTTATTGATACTTCAATTTTACGATAAATATAGCAACGATACTATTATTTGGACGTTTGCTATTTATATTATATTTTTGAAGATGACCAGCAAAACGATATTATAAAATGGACGTTTGCTGCTTTGTATTATTTATTTTGGCAAACGATATTATATATTGGACGTTTGCTGCTTTTTATTATATTTTTGGCAAACGATATTATATATTGGACGTTTGCTGCTTTTTATTATATTTTTGGCAAACGATATTATGAATTGGACGTTTGCTGCTTTTTATTATATTTTTGGCAAACGATATTATATATTGGACGTTTGCTGCTTTTTATTATATTTTTGGCAAACGATATTATGAATTGGACGTTTGCTGCTTTTTATTGCATTTTTGGGAAACGATATTATAAATTGGACGTTTGCTGCTTTTTATTATTTATTTTGGCAAACGATATTATATATTGGACGTTTGCTGCTTTCTATTATATTTTTTGGCAAACGATATTATAAATTGGACGTTTGCTGCTTTTTATTATATTTTTGGCAAACGATATTTTAAATTGGACGTTTGTTGCTTTTTATTATATTTTTATCTAGTATATTATATCTATTATATTTTTGGCAAACGATATTATAAATTGGACGTTTGCTGCTTTTTATATTATTTTTATCTATTTTATCTATTATATTTTTTGGTAAACGATATTATAAATTGGACGTTTGCTGATTGGAAAATAAAAAAATATTACTATTTTAAATAGTAATTCCTTTAATTAATTTAAATCTCTTTTAATTACAGATATTGGCCAACATCAGTTACAATGACATCAAAATAGATCTTCTGGAACATCCAAGGCCCTCAAAGAGGATCAGTGATGGATATTATCAGGTACAAATATAATTTTTTTGGCAATTATGTTATAAATTGGACGTTTGCTGCTTTCTATTATATATTTTTTGGCAAACGATATTAGAAATTGGGCGTTTGCTGCTTTTTATTACATTTTTGGCAAACGATATTAAAAATTGGACGTTTGCTGCTTTTTATTATATTTTTGGCAAACGATATTATAAATTGGACGTTTGCTGCTTTCCATTATATTTTTTGGCAAACGATATTATAAATTGGACGTTTGCTGCTTTTTATTATACTTTTGGCAAACGATATTATAAATTTGACGTTTGCTGCTTTCTATTATATTTTTTGGCAAACGATATCATAAATTGGACGTTTGCAGCTTTCTATTATATTTTTGGCAAACGATATTATAAATTAGACGTTTGCTGCTCTTTATTATATTTTTGGCAAACGATATTATAAATTGGACGTTTGCTGCTTTCTATTATATTTTTTGGCAAACGATATTATAAATTGGACGATTGCTGCTTTATATTACATTTTTTGGCAAACGATATTATAAATTGGACGTTTGCTGCCTTTTATTATATTTTTGGCAAACGATATTATAAATTGGACGTTTGCTGCCTTTTATTATATTTTTGGCAAACGATATTATAAATTGGACGTTTGCTGCTTTTTATTATATTTTTGGCAAACGATATTATAAATTGGACGTTTGCTGCTTTTTATTATTTATTTTGGCAAACGATATTAAAAATTGGACGTTTGCTGCTTTTATTATATTTTTGGCAAACGATATTATAAATTGAATGTTTGCTGCTTTTTATTATATTTTTGGCAAACGATATTATAAATTGGACGTTTGCTGCTCTTTATTATATTTTTTCTCAACTAAATTAAAATCTTAACAATAATTAATTATTACTATTTTAAATAGTAATTCCTTTAATTAATTTAAGTCTCTTTTAATTACAGATATATACGGAATATCATCTTCATAATATAATTATTTGGATAATATAAAAGCAAATATTTAGACAGGTTTTATACATTTTTACAACTTAATTATATAAAGAATGCTTATATGTTTACTTTTCAAAATTAATGTACAGAATTTATTTAAAATTTAATAATACATACAGAAAGTAATAATGCATACAGAAAATGAAATAATTTATTAAAAATATTGTTAAATAATTTTAATGTATTGTGTTTATATAAACATTAAAGCATTTATACATGTATACATTATATTTAAGTTTATATTATTATCTTTTATTATTTTAATTTTAAATTTCGCGCCAAAGCAAATTTAAAATTTAGCACGTGGCAACACTATTTACTACCATTACAACTGTTTGTTATGCATTTGTTAAATGTCAAAGTAGCTAAGCAATAAGGCACGTTTTCTTGACTTATTTAATAACTTTTTAATAATAACATAATATGTGATGATATTAAATGTAAAATAAACTCATAAAGTTTAGTTTTCCATCACCAAAATGTCTACAGCAGGTAAATTTAATAAACTATTTTGGTAACATTCCATATAAGGAGTCGTCATAATTTTCGAAATTGAAATATTTATATATAATGTTGTAAATATATATATATATATATATATATATATTTATTCATTATTATTATGCAAAAATTATTTGTTTTAGGTAAATGGGTTAAATTTTTCACAAATGCAGGCATTCCATCTCAAGTTTCAGCAAGTTACGCCTTGTTATTTGATGAAAATAGAATACAAACAGATATGTTAATTGATTTGAATAAAGATTATTTACGAGAAATGGGTATCACAAGAATGGGAGATATAATAGCTATATTAAGGTCAGTACAAATTGCAAAACACGTTTTCGAATGTAAAAACATGATCAAGTTACTGAAAGTTTCATATTTGGTATCTGATATTTATTATGTCTGCAATATATATTTGAATTGTATCGTCTGCAATTTATATTTGATTGTATCTGCTGAACAAATATACCTAAGAAATAAAATTTTGTAATCTTAGAAGTTAGGTTAGGTTTAAGAACACCTCGTTCTGAACATTACTCTCAACCAGCTAACATGTTCTAGACAAATCCAATCTATATCAATCAATTATCAATTATATTTATAATATACTGCTATAGAAGTCATCATCATTTATGATTCAGACATGCTAAAAGCGTTCACGAGCAAGCAGAACGAGACAGAATCCTTGGTTCACAAGTAAGAGTACCAGTAGCAGCTGTGGCTTCTTTACCTAAAAAAGAAACTGGGAAAACAGTACCACGTAAGAAAATAAAAAAATTACATATTATCTGATTATTTACATATTATCTGATTATTCACATATGACTGATTTGTGATTATTTTAGTCGGCGTGAATATATTACTCAATGAGACACGAAAAAGGACTATGCCGACGTCTCAAGTAGACACTCCTGATGTCTCACCAGTGAAAAAGCCGGCACGAAGAGTTTTACCAGAGCACGAAGGAGGTTATACAGTTAAACTGCCGCAAGGCATTACTCAAAGGAGCAAGGAAATACTTGAGAAGAAAGCCATGTGTAAGTAGAAAGGAAAATTTAATATGTCACATAGGTTTGCTTAGTTATATTAAAAATAGAAATGAAATGTGAATGTATTGGAATTATAAAAAAAAGTTATTTGGAAGGATATATGCAATACAAAAGTAACAAGAAAGTTGTTAGTTGAGATATAACAGTTTTTCTTTAATGCTATAAAAACTCATTTTATCAAAATTTTGATATTCCAGTGTATATAACAGTGTTTACTAGATTTCAGTATATTTTATCTATTTTTTTATAATGTAAATAATTTATAATGCTTGAAAAGAAAATTAAAAGTTATTTGAAGAAATGCAAAAAAAATGTCCTGAATTCATATTTGGCAAATTATAAAAATATGGTAATTCACAATTCAATTTCAAATCATTCAAAATTTTAATATCAAAAGGTAAATAAAAGTTTTTACTGTATTTTAGTGAATTTTATCTAGTTTTTACTGATGTAACTAAATTAAAATGTCCGGGAAGAAATTTAAAAGATTTTTGATGAAATGTAAAAAAATGACCTATATTGCAAATTATCAAGTTTTGTTAAGAAATAAAAAAATGCCCTAAATCCATATATGGCAAATTATCAAAATACTGAAAGCGCATTTCAATTGCTAATTAGTCAAAATTTCGATATACAAGTGTTAATAGCAGTTTATACTAGATTTTAGACAATTTTATCTAGTTTTTACTGATGTAACTAAATTAAAATGTCCGGGAAGAAATTTAAAAGATTTTTGATGAAATGTAAAAAAAAATGACCTATATTGCAAATTATCAATTTACTGAAATTCACATTTTAAATACTAAAAATTCAAAATTTCAATATAAAAGTGTATAAAACAGTTTTTACTAGATTGTAGTAAATTTCATCTAGTTTTTAATAATGTAAACAAAATATAATGTTTGAAAAGAAAATTTAAAGTTATTTGAAGAAAAGTAAAAAAAATGTTCTAAATTCATATATGGCAAATCATCAAAATACTAAAGTCTGCATTTCAACTATGAATTACCTAAAATTTTGATATGGAACTGCATAAAACAATTTTCACTAGATTTAAGTAAATTTTATCTAGTTTTTACTAATAAAAATAAATTGAAATGTCCAGGAAGAAAATAAAAAGTTTTTTGAAGAAAAGAAAAAAATGTCCTACATCCATATATAGCTAATTATCAAAATACTAAAGTCTGCATTTCAAATACAAATTATTCAAAATTCTAATATGCATGTGTATAAAACAATTTTTAGTGGATTGCAGTAAATTTTATCTAGTTTACACTGATGTAAATAAATTAAAATGTCTGGGAAGAAAATTAAAAGTTACTTTAAAAAAAGTAAAAAATTATCCGAAATTCTCATAGAAAAGTCCAGAAATTGAATGTTCAATTAAGTTTTATTCAAAATTTTATTAAGTAAGTGTATAAAACAGTTTTTACTAGATTCTAGTAAATTTTATCTAGTTTTTACTAATGTAAATGAATTAAAATGTCTGGTAAGAAAATTTAAAGTTATTTGAAAAAAAGTAAAAAAATGTCCTAAATCCATATATGGCAAATTATCAAAATATTGAAAATTGCATTTCAAATACAAATTATTCAAAAATGCAATATGCAAGTGTAATAAACAGTGTTTACTAGATTTTAGTAAATTTTATCTAGTTTTTACTAATATAAATAAATTAAAATGTCCGGGTGGAAAATTAAAAGTTATTTGAAGAAATATAAAAAAATGTCTAAAATGCTAAATATATTACTAGAAGTTCCTACAAAATTTCATTATGTAAGTTTATACACTAATTTATCTTACATTTAAATTAATCATAGTTTTTTCTAATTTTCCAGTATCCAAGCAAGTTGCAGTCAAGCCAAAACCATCTATCTTTAGAAGACTAGATGTGGATTCCAACTCGAGACAAGCCAGTATTGAATCTAATCCATCAACTACATCATCGGCTTCTGTGTTCAATCGACTTGGTAGACTAGAAGATGAGCCCCCCAAACCCAAAACAAGAACAATTATTACTACCCAATCAACCAGCATAAAAACCGTGAAGACCACAAAACAACCTGTACGTTTAATTAAAACTCTTCCCAAGTCAATGATTGCAGATCAACCAAAAGTATCGACAAAAGAAAGAATAATTTTACCTAACAAGAAGGCAGCAGTTTCTTTTAGCGATGATGTCTTAGTTAAGACTATTAAGCCTAAAGGGATTATGAAGAAGACTGGTAATACTGATATTGTAAATAAACAGTATAAAAATAATATAAAAGCAAGGTTAGGTTTAAATGCTAAACGATCAGATGCAAATAAATCTTTTGTTCGAACTAAAACTACAATAGGTACAAGTATAAAACCTAAATTTACACAAGGTAAATTATTCTCAGATAGGCAGAGTTTTAGTAAAAAAGGAGTCTTTAATAGGCTGGGCTGATCTGAGTTTGTTTGATATTGGATAACTTTTATGTTTGACTTAGGTGTAATATATTTAGCCCCACGCTTGTAAAAACATTTGGATATATAATGTTAGACTAATAAATCTGAATTTGACACAGTAAATGCATATAACTTTTAACGTGTATGGTAAATATGTAATACATATTATTTTTAATATAGAACAATTAATAACAAGTTGTGCTTTCATTATTTAAAGTAGAAGAAAATATTATTAATTTCTTGTAGGTTAAATTATTGTAATGAAAAATTAGGGATATTTTTACGTTTTAGGAATTTCTGAACGTTTTGGCATACTTCAGAAAAAAGTGAATGTGTGTGTGTGTGTGTGTGTATGTGTGGATACAAATTTTTGTTGAAGATTTCGGGCGTACGGCTCAACCGATTTGAATAATTCAAAAAACATTCGATTCCTATTGATAGAGAGATGTGCTCATGAGTTTTTGGCAAAGGCAGGTCCAGCCGTTTCGGAGATACGGTGCAAAGAGTGCAAAAAATAGAAACTAAATTTTTGAGAGAACGGAGCATCCGATTTGAATTATTCAAAAAACATTCAATGCGTAATGATGGGGAGAAGTGATGATTAGTTTTTTGGCAAAGGCAGGTCCAGCCGTTTCGGAGATACGGTGCAAAGAGTGCAAAAAATAGTAACTAAATTTTTGAGAGAACAGAGCATCCGATTTGAATGATTCGAAAAACATTCGATGCGTATTGATAGGGAGAAGTTTTGATTAGTTTTTGGCAAAGGCAGGTCCAGCCGTTTCGGAGATACGGAGCTAAATGTGCAAACAAATGTAGTTTTTGATGAAACAAAGCATCAGATTTGAATGATTCAAAAAACATTTTTGAAAGTTTTTACAAAAGGCAATATTTTTTTCAAAATTTCATTATTTTTAATTTCCAAAAAATATTTTTTTTTTGAATATCGAAAATGATTCGGATATTAATTTTAATTCTAGATAAATATATTATAAAACTGTAATTTTGGGTTAAAAATTTGAAAAATCACCCAAACTAAGCACATTCTAAGTGACTACCTGGTGCAAATGTTTTCGCAAGTGCGTTTAGACTGTGACTATACTGGAGCATTTTTCCAATTTTAGTAAATTATAGAAATGTAATTTTTGTGAGTTCAAAAAACTGTTTTAATTAAAAAAACTACCCAAACTAAGCACAGTCTAAGTGACAACCTGGTGTAAATATATTTGCAAGTGCGTTTAGACTGTGAGACTGCAACTTTTTCAATTTTGTGCACATTGCAACTATATTTTTGGAATAGAATTAGAAATTAAATGACAGTTAATAAATTGATTTGAGTTAAATTGATTTATAAATCTATAATATATGATTTACATTTGATTTGCTCACTCAGATATAACAAGATACCAAAAATAATGAAAGTTACAGTATTTGTAATAATATGTGATGTGAAAATTTCTTGGTACGGGAAGTTCCAGCAATTTGCCTTAAGGCACGATACTATACACCACTAGTTTAATTACTGCATTATAAAGCTCATACAATTTGTCATATTATTATAAATAATTATAATTCAAATTTTGGTTTTCAAATTTCATACATTTTAAGTATGACTTGAAGTTGTTCATATACATTAATGTTTGCCATATATTAATTTTTTACTACAACAATGCTAGTATATTGTATTTAAATACAAATTAAACATTAACAAATTATTATTATTATCTTACAGTACAAAAATAAAACAACATAATGCAATTTTAAAAATATCATAATTTTTTTTTAAATTATCATCTAATCAATTATTATCATCGCCATGATGGCAACCCTAGTATTCGAACCAATCAAAACGCTTCTTCGCGCCAAGCAGAACGCTCATCAGTTTTAGTTTTCAACAAAGCGCATTCAAAATGACAGAATTACGTTGTGATAATATTTTACAATTCTTTAATATTCCGCATCCGGACACGTTGTATTGTTTTTGTGCAAAAATCGACGGTCAGGAAAGAAGAGACAAATCTTGCAGGTCGTCATTTCATTGGCAACTTTTGAAATGCAGGTAGTTATACATAATCCGCCATTTTAAACATTGTCAAAGTGAAAATTGTGTGATAATTTGTTAACAAATTGCAAACAATTGTTTGTTTCAAGGTTGATAATATTCTCTTTAGAAGAAGTGTTAGCTTGTCCATCTCAACAATCGTTGCTCGATATTTATGTTGTAATTAGTAAAACTGATTTCGAGAATGAGGGGCGCTTTGTTTCTTTCATGGAGTCACTCAATATGAAGGTAATACGTAGACAGATTTTAATAATAATAGACATTTACTTTTTCCAATGTTTGAGTCAAACGATTCAGAATGACTTGAAAAATAAAATGATGAACGTTAGTAAAAGTGTTTTTTTAAATATTTTTTAGATATCGCCTCCTCGTGAACTGAGTAATGAAATGTATGAAAAATGTCTTCGTTATACAATTGTTGCAAAATTGGCCCCATTTTGGAATCCTTTGGGCGATGATTTTATGGCAAAAGGAAGGGATTTTCTTGATGAAAAAATTATGGGAACTGTTAAATTACAGTATAAGGTAATAATGATAAAATTATAGTTTAACTTACTATAGTCGAAATAAAAAGCAACTAATGGCATTAAGGTAAATTGCTGGAACTTCCCGTACCAAAAATTAAATTTTTAAAAACATTCAATTTTCTTTTAGAAATCTAAAAAATTGATTTTTGAGATTTTTAAAATTATACTAATCAATAGGAATCGCAAGTTTATTGAATTATTCAAATCGTTTGACTCGTGTTCCAGAAATCGTCGACGAAAATTTGTATCCGCACACACACACATATTATTTTTTTCTAAGGTATGCCAAAATGTTCAGAAATCGTTGAAACGTAAAAATATGTAAAAATTTTCATTTACGATTTTTTTGCGATTACTATAACTTACCCTACGGGAAGTTAATAAATAATTAACTATTGATGGCACACATACAGTGTCAAAACGTGCATAATAAATATTTAATTACTTTATTAATAGAATTTTCCTTTTTTCTCGTACAAATTTTCAATTTGCTCGATAGTAAGGTTCTTTCTCTCTTTACTTCGTATTTCAGTTTGCTTGGTGAATTAAAAAAGGGACTCTACTCACGAGCAAATTAAATATTAGGTTGTCAAATATCTCCCTTCCGCCTTTTTGTATTATAAACCAAGAGCAAAAAAGCGGAAGGGAGATATTTGACAACCTAATATCAATTTGGTGTATTAAAAAAAGGACTCTACTGACGAGCAAACTAAATATCAATTATGTGTAATAAAAAAAGGGACTCTACTGACGAGCAAACTAAATATTAATTTGGTGGATTTAAATGGGACTCTAGTGACGAGCAAACTAAATATTAATTTTTGGTATTAAAAACAGGACTTTACTGACGAGCAAACTATGAATATCCGAATTGGTGTATTTAAAAAAAATACTTTACTGACGAGCAAACTAAATATAAATTTGGTTGATTAAAAAGGGACTCTACTGACGAGCAAACTAAATGTTTAAATTGGTATATCAAAAAAGGGACTCTACTAAGAATCAAACGAGAGATGGACTTTAAAATACAAAAAGGACTCAATAAATAACTAAAACAATTAATTATTTTTATTTCGTACAATAAAAATTTCAACCATATATTTCAACATCAAACAAAAAAATCTTAAGTTTATATATATATAGGGCCGGATATATATCAGGGCCGGATTTAGAAATTTGGCGCACTGGGGCAAAGACAATACCGCCCCTTTTAAAGTCTCATTTTTCTAAAATTAAAATAACTATTTGATTGCAAAAAATATCACGCATTACATACTTGTTCTATGTATAGATACATTTTTTTTTAATTTCACTAGGTACTAACCCCGACTAAAACCTATTATAAATCCAAAACTGTTTGTAATTTTAACTTCTTTTTTCCTTTCCTCAGATTTCAAACTGCACCCTTTCCTTAAGCGTGCGCTCATCTTACATGAGGATGCCAAAATTGACAATGGCCTACTTAGGATTTTCTGAAGAGATGCTCCGAAAGATCTGGCTAAGCACCAATTGCATCCCAGACACAGATCTATCTTGCCAATGGGTTTATGTGCTACCCAGTTTGAAAAAAGGGCGCATTATTGCAATTTGGAACACACTGCCACCGAATTGCCCTTATAAGACTTACAAGGAATTGAGAAGACACTGGAAGAACGCGGTAAGATAAAGATAAAGGACTTTATTAAAAATTTAGTTCCAAGTTCCATACATTATGCTACTGAATCCTACTGAATACTGTCGAAATGTCATGTATTTGCTGTGCATTCAGGCGTTTTACACATAAACTGGCAACGTCACTCGTATGTTATGAAGCTGTGTCAGAAAAACTGTTTCTATGTTAGGTTTTCTATCTGACAAGGGGGCGTCCATTAATCACGTGAGCGATTTTCTAGGAATTTTTGAAACCCCCTTCTCCGACCAAACATCACGTGTATTTTAGTTACGTGAAAAAACTGTAAAATTTTTGATTTTCTTTGAAAATATTTAAACTTAAAAAAAAAGTAGTTAAAAAATTAATACACGTGATATCTTACTCTACCCCTCCCTGAATTTTATGTTTTCTCGACGTTTCAAGCCATTCTGAATGGAATGAGTCTAAATTTAAGGGAAATGTATGTGTGTGTATGTATGTGAACACATTTTTTGCAGTAAATCGACGTTTTCTAAAAAACGCCTAAACCGATTTCAGAAATTTAAAAGCCATTCGATGTAACTCGATGAGGACAAGCGTTTCTCTGTCTTGTGCGATGATCGGTCGAGCCGTTTCTTTGTAATTTGAAATAATTAATAATAATAATAAATAATACGTGATATTTCGTGATTTTTTGTCACGTGATTGTTTGCGACGAGCGTATTCTATAAACAGCATATGTGTCTGAAATTACAAGAAATTTGTTAAATTTTTTTTTCAAATATGAATTTTTTAATGATTTTGAATTTTTTCAAAATTTTTGATTTTTTTTAAATTTCGAAATTTTTTGAGAATTTGGAAATTTTTAAAATATTATTTTTTTTGAAAATTTCGAAA